AACCTCTGCCTCCTGTGTTCAGGCGATTCTTCTGCCTCAGCCTCCTGAGTAGCTGGAACTACAGGTGCGTGCCACCATGCCCGGCTAATTTTGTGTTTTTATTAGAGATAGAATTTCACCATCTTAGCCAGATTGGTCTCGAACTCCTGACCTCATGATCCGCCCGCCTCAGCCTCCCAAAGTGCTGGGATTATAGGCCTGAGCCACCATGCCCGGCTTATATATATATTGCATTCGAAGATGGGGGTTTCTAGTCACCCAGATAGTGGTACTGCAGCCTTAAACTCCTGGGCTCAAGGGATCCAACTGCTTAAGCCTCCCAAGTAGCTGTGACTACAGGCACGTGCCATCACACCAAACTTAGTTTTAAAATTTGAATTCGACACCAGGCTGGCCAACATGGTGAAACCCCCGTCTCTACTAAAAATACAAAAATTAGCTGGACCTGTAATCCCAGCACTTTGGGAGGCGAAGGTGGGTGGATCACAAGGTGAAGAGATCGAGACTATCCTGGCCAACACAGTGAAACCCTGTCTCTACTAAAAATACAAGAATTAGCCGGGCGTGGTGGCACACGCGTAGTCCCAGCTACTTGGGAGGCTGAGGCAGGAGAATTGCTCGAACCCTAGAGGCAGAGGCTGCAGTCAGCAAAAATCACACCACTGCATTCCAGCCTGGCAAGAGAGCGAGACTCCATCTCAAAAAAAAAAAAAAAATTGATTCCACAAGATGTGGGATTCAGGGAGGGTAGAATTAGACCCTTGGTAGCAAGAGTCCACAGGTCCTGAATGTGGAGCTAAAGCACCCAGCCTTCTTGAGCACTCCCTTTTCTGTAGGGTGATTTTTTTTTTTTTTTTTTTTTTTTTTTTTGAGGTAAAGCCTTGCTCTGTTGCCTGTGATGGAGTGCAGTGGCACGATCTTGGCTCAGTGCAACCTCCACCTTCTGGGTTCAAGCAATTCTCCTGCCTCAGCCCCCTAAGAAGTTGGGACTACATGTGTGCACCACCCAGCTAATTTTCGTATTTTTATTAAAGATGAGGCTTTGCCATGTTGGCCAGGCTGGTCTTGAACTCCTGACCTCAAGTCATCTGCCTGCCTCAGCCTCACCGTCTTGGGATTGCAGGCGTGAGCCACTGTGGCCAGCCGAAGGTGCTCTTTTGTGAAAGTGTTTTGACTCCTTTATGCCTCTTGCCACCCCTGTGAAAGAAAGCTGTCGTCTTCTGTGTCAGGTAAGATCTGCAGTCAGCCTAAGGTCAAAATAGAGCTAGACAGTAGTCGAGTGCGGCTCTCCTCCCAGAGTGAATGACTCCTGGGCTGAGGCAGATGCTTGGGGAGTCCAGCTAACACTTTTATTGCAGAACCTGGCCTGAATTCTGCAGGTTATGACTAGCACTGAAATAAGGGCCAGGTTTGTGAGGCTGGCAGAGTATGGGGTTAACGGCCCCATTGTTTGCAGATAACTCGAGGAGGCACCATCTAGTCTATGTGAACGTGACTCCTGGAATCATGCAGTGGCAGTGCCCTGGCATCACGGGCCTGTTTGGCTGAGGTGCCCAGCTTATTTATTTATTTATATATTTATTTAGAGACGGAGTCTCACTCTGTTGCTCAGGTTGGAGTGCAATGGCACAATCTCAGCTCACTGCCACCTCCACCTCCCGGGTTCAAGTGATTCTCCTGCCTCAACCTCCCAAGTAGCTGGGACTACAGGTGGGCACTACCACACCCAGCTAATTTTGTATTTTTAGTAGAAACAGGGTTTCCCCACGTTGGCCAGGCTGGTCTTGAACTCCTGACCTTGTGATCTGCCCACCTCAGCCTCCCAAAGTGCTGGGATTACAGGAGTGAGCCACCGTGCCTGGCCGCTTATATGTTTTTTGTAGAGACAGGGCGTCTCGCTTTGTTGCCCAGGCTGGCATCCAACTCAGGCTCCCACAATGCTGCGATTATAGGTGCCAGCCACTGTGCCTGGCCAGGTGTGTGTTGGGATGCTGGAAGGGTGGCTCAGCCTGTTGCCTGAAAGCATTTCTGCTGCTGGAGCCATGGTTGCCTCTACCAGTTTCTGGGCATCACCATACCAAGATGGCTTATCTGGTGAGGAGGCCCAGCTCTGCTTTCTCAGCTAGGCAGCAGGGCCCCTTTCTCTCTAGATAAGTGAATTTGACCTTTTTGAAAAGAAAGATTTGACTGACGATCAGCTCCCCAGTCTGGCTCACTGAGGCTTAGTCCTGTTCTGTCACCTGTTTTTTTTTGTTGTTGTTTTTTTTGCCACAGGGTCTGGCTCTACCACACAAGAGATCAAGAGATTGTACGGTAGCACAACTGCAACCTCCACCTGCTGGCTATCCTCCCACCTAAGCCTCCTGAGTAACTATGCGTGCACCACAGAGGCTGAGGTTTTTTGTTCTTACCATCTTTTTTATTTAAAAAAAATTTTTTTTCTGGCTGGTCACGGTGGCTCACGCCTATAATCCTAGCACTTTGGGAAGCCGAGGCGGGTGGATCATGAGGTCAAGAGATCGAGACCATCCTGGTCAACAAGGTGAAACCCCGTCTCTACTAAAAATACAAAAATTAGCTGGGCATGATGGTGCATGCCTGTAGTCCCAGCTACTCGGGAGGCTGAGGCAGAAGAATTGCTTAAACCCAGGAGGCGGAGGTTGCGGTGAGCCGAGATTGTGCCATTGCACTCCAGTCTGGGTAACAACAGGAAACTCCGTCT